CCATGGATGCCATGTGCAAACATGCGGTTCGCCTATGTAGAAAATATCGAATTTATCCCCAACAGATAGCAATTTTTAAGAAAAAATAATAAATTCCAAAAAATATTTTAAAAATGAAAAAATTATATTCAAACTATATTTAATTTAGAATAATGAATATTGTATAGTTATTAAAAATAATGTATAATGAAACTGAATATAATCATTGAAAACCCATTGAAGAAAAACATCTATACTATTATTTGTGAAGTCAAAAATCTGATGTGTCGTTCCCAGCACAATTCTAAGTGTAATTTTGTGTTGACATGTCATATGCTTTTTTTTTTTTGCGTTGACATGGCGGTTTGTTTAACTATCATTGATTGTTCATTAAAGTGATGTGGATGTAAATTATTTCAGATTTGAACCAATAATTTCTGATGTTTGATTAAAATATGTGGGCTCTACAAGTATATGTATATCGATGATAAATGTATCAATAGTAAAAAAAGAAGGAAAAAAACCTTCAATGAATAAATGTTTTTGATACCAAATATAAGTAGTGATTGCAGTGATCACATACTCACTAAAACTTAAACCGGTACTATCATGTATTGGTATAGATCTAATATCAAGTCTACCATTTAACCCTAAAACAAACAAAATTAAAATGTATAGCATTTAACCCTTTCTGTGGCATTTTTTGGTTCCTTTTATCATCAAGAAGTTTATTTTAACGACCGTGGTTTGACCAATTTTGGTTTTTTTTTTGTTTTTTTTTTGGTTTAGTTAGTTTATAATTAATGCATGTCATGATACTGTAAAATTTTGAAGCGATGAAAATTTGAACCCGGACTGAAATTCAACTAACACTGCATTACGTACATCACATGATAATATTATATGTTAATAATTATTTGAACCTACAAAAACCAGCCACAAGACCGAAGAGAAGAGAATTCATCTGGTTGGTCTGCTAATCAAGCAGCCACATTTGAGCATCTCTGATATTTAAATAGAAGAAGGAACAGTGAGAGTGAGATGTTACAAAGAGTTAGATGGTACAGCATCATATAGTGGTAGAAGAAGCTCTGGTGAGAGCTAAGGAATGAGGTGGAGAGGGACGAAAATCATTTAGAGCTCTCTTCTCACTGTATTCCCGAAATTTAAAAGAAAATCAATGTTAAGTTGATTGTTGCCCGTTGGGATATGAATTCTGGGCTCATTCAATTGTTCATCAAAATGTTCAATAAATAGATAAAAGAAATGAATTTCTAAAAGGTGTAAAGGAAAATTGATTTTTTGTATGGTTTAACACGTATCGGCATGTGGCAATTTTGAACAAGAGACAATTGAGAGTTCCGGCTATGAAGAACATATAGCTAAATTAAAAGAATAAAAATAGAGAATGAGAATTGGAATTAAGACTAGACCATTGTGAAATATATCTTTCATGAATGAAAATAAAGAAAACATGTTGGATATATTTGAAAAAAGACCAAGGGAGATCTAATTAATTATGAATCTAGAGACAGAAAGAGAGAGAGAGAGAGAGAGAGAGAGAGAGAGAGAGAGAGAGAGAGAGAGAGAGAGAGAGCCTTCAAGGATATGTAACTTCTCGATTGTATATCGTCGTTAGTTTGTCTCTTTCATGTTTCTAATTTCTATTTCATCTGGTTGACAAATACTGTAAGTTTAAGCTTTCAGGGATATGTAAGTGTAGTTTTTTTTATAATGACTGTCTTATACAATTATAGAAACGAACACAGAGTTGTCTTCAACAAGGATCCTTTCCCACCGACCGAGCCGTAGTTCCTCAATAAGGGAGTATTCACACATTCAGCTTTTGTGTGCCCCTAGCGAAGCAACCTTTGCATTAAAATGGCTCTTCCGCGCAGAAACGAGATGTTCCAAATGCATTTCTTGGAACTGAGGTTTATGCATTTTTAAATAAGTGCGGAAAAACGACTATTGCTATTGGTACCATATTAAACCCAGAAAACAGAAATAGATGAAGAGGAGAAAAAGGCAATTCAAATATAAAGAAGACAAAGTTGATGACGAAGAAGTAATAAAAGACAAACATAGAGTTGAATAAAATCCTGAGGAATAAGAAAAACATGGGCAACACGAAATAGTGAAGATGAATAAGTGTAAATCGATTAGGAAGTTAGAGTTGAAGAAGAAAACAAAAGAAAAAAAAAGGCAAAAAGGAAGATTAAAAAAATCAAGTAAAACAAGATAAAAAAAAAAACCGGAAGATGAAGTAGAACAAGGTGAATATGAAAAAGAGATATATAAAAACCAGATGAAAAAGAGTTTGGATAAGACAAAGAAGATCAAAACTAATTAAAAAGCAGAGGATGAAGAAGGCTAACTGAAACAGAAAAAGTATAGAGGAAGAAGATAATACAATAATGATGAAGAAAAAATAAAAAACACTGAGAAAGGACATAGGAAAATACAAGGAAGACAAGAACCAAAAAATAAGCAAGAGGAAGAAAAGAGAAGACACACAGAAGAAGAAGAGAAGTATAGTCAAGAAGTTGATGAAGATGAAAGAAAAGGGTGA